TTTCCGACTCATTATGCAATTGATCTCGAATGAATAATAGAAAAAAAATATTTCAATATCTAACATACTTTCGATATTGTAGATCAATATCCATGGTCAGAATGGAGTCGTAGTGATAATTCTTGTAAACAGCATACAGGACTGGATCTCGAACAAGTGCAACTATTATACGATATGTGTGAGCAATCGATCGTAGAATACTGTGCGAATCGAAAACAACAACTTACACAAAATACAAATGTACCATTTTTATCTCCTATCAATCTACTTTCAGTCACGTTGTGGTATTTAAAACATTATCATTCCGAGCGCTATATTGCAGCAGAACTTCACTTCAGTCAAACAACAGTCAATTACTTTCTATCAGCGATGATAGATATTCTCTACCGTTGTGTATATCAAAAACTAGTTGTATTACCTGATGATATGGATGACGAAGATACTACTCATGGATCTGAACAATACCACAAACTAATAGTTGACTCGACTTGTATCTCAATTGATCAACCTGAAGATCGTGAAGAACGTAAAACCTATTACCACGGGAAAAGTCCGACTAATTATGGGTTTAAAGTGCAGATAGCTTGTGATTTTCGTCATCAAATTGTACATGTCTCGGAGTGTTTTAAAGGCAGTGTACACGACTTAACCATTCTCAGAGAATCCGGGCTCTTAGAATGCGTAGAAGACAATGGCCAAATCATTGCTGATAAAGGTTATATTGGTGAACCATATGTAGTAACTCCGAGAAAAAAACCTCGCGGTGGTGAACTTACAACCGAAGATAAAGATTTTAATCGAAATATCTGTTCCGCAAGAGCAGCTATTGAAAATATCAATCAACGTATGAAACAATACGCGATTATAGGACATGTTTACCGAGGATCTTATGGTGACTTCGACAAGATTACTAAAATCACACGCGTAGTTTCTGCTCTTTGTAATCTTAATTTGGATAAACATCCTATTCCCAAGGATTGATTCTATTAGATCTTTTTTTGAAATCTAGTTTTGATCCTAATAAATCAGGAGAAAAATCACAGTGAATAATTCTCATAAAAATTGATTTAACAAAAGAACTTCTGAAGCACCCTTCGTTATATTGATTTTATGCAGGGTATATGGTCGAAATGATAGTAAATCGTTAACTCTAGATAAGTACTATG